TGGGAATACAAATTAAACCATTTCTCTCATTTTTTATATACACACATATGTAATATACATATATAAATGCAGCTGGACGACAGATTAGAGAAGAATTCAAGTAAGATTTAACTAATGCATGCATGGGGTGTTAATTGTTGAACAAGTAGGAGGTGTCAAGCTATCTTTGTAGTAACATGCATGCATGAGGTGGTTTAAGCAGGTAGGAGGTGTTAAATTACGGCACAACCTGACCTTAGGTGTTGAGTTAAGTTTATGAAATACATGCATGCAACCACGTGTAGATGTAGGCACCAACTTTGGTTAATTATCTCCACTTTGCTTCTATATACGTATAACCGAGAGATGAGCAGCCTATATATCTTTGCAAAGTCAGAATTTTTATGGAGAGATAGAGAGAAAATCGGCAGGAAGAAAGGAAGAAAAAAAAAAGAAAAGGAAAGGAAGAAAAAGGAAAACAAAGCCTACACTCTCAAGTTCTTGTTTTTCAACCGAAGTTTCTCCAAGTTTTATTGTAAGATACTTTCTTTGCTTAAGTGGTAGGATTTCATGGTAATATTTATGCTTAAGCTATGCATGAAAAACCATAATATGAATGTGTGGACAAGTCCACAAAGTTAGATATCTATGCCTTAGGACAAGTCCGAAGGGCACCGGCAAGCCGGAATGTGCAAGTATGTGTTTGATTGCATTCTTTTGTGTAATATTAACATGTTAAATCTAAGCATGGTATCTTACTGAGTATTCTTTATACTCATAGTATCCTATACTAAATTTTCAGATCCATAGATGTGAAGTTGGTGGAAGTCAGTCGGCATAATCGATGATGGATTAAGGACGAAGGTTATTTTGCATCGAAGTTTTGTTTTTGCATGTTTGTTCTACTGCTCTCCAAATGTTTTTCTTATGGTGTTGTATAAAAACTTGTATAAGACATGATCTACTATGGTACCGGAAGTAAATTATGTAATTATATCTTCCATGTTATGTTAAGAAACGTTTTTATAAACCTTTTTCTCGAATGATAAAAAAGGGCAGAATCTGGGCAGTTTCTGGGTCATCTTCAAAACATTATTTCTAACTCTGTAGACGTCCATTTGAGAATCTAAAAATACTAATGCGTTCGTCTTTAAGTTTTCTAAATATGGGCACAAGAATCACTCAATTTGGATGTCCATGGCCTGAGATATGAATTTTTAAACGTTGAAGAGTCAATCTGGATTTTCTGTGCAACACTACACTGTTTTCAGTAAAACGTCCATATTATATGATCTCGGAAAATTCTCATATTTTAACCTAGGAAACTACTTGAAATTATCTTTCTAATTCCACAAATGTCATAGAAAACGGAGTTGGGATGAATTTTATAAAAATAGTTGAACTTGCTGCCCTAACTAACTGTGGCAGTACCGAGTCCTTTTTTGTAAAGTATAATTCCACGTCGACATGCACTTCTACTGGCCATTAAATTTCATGAGAGATATTTTACCAAATTGAAAATAGTTTTTTAACATGTAATATTTCTATTTAAGAGTATTTACATGTACCAAAGGCAGAAGTTACTATGTTTAGTACGTGACCCCCGAAGCCTAAGTTCGGGGCGTCACACACACATCGTCGACGATTCGGGTTGCTTGGTTCTAAATTTATTGAATTCGAATCCAAAACCTTGCTTTGGCTTTCTTGGGAAGATTTCCATCTTGTTCGTGGGTTTCGTAGCGTTTGCCTACGCGGGTTCACATCAGTTAGTATCAGAGCTTGGTTCCAATCCAAGGTTATATCTCTTTTTAATTCTTGTTGAGTCAGTTATTCCTATTCTTTATTGTTCTTCGAGTCCGTTAGTATTTAGAGTCTTTAATACAAAAAAGTTATAAAAAAATTTCAAAAGTTGTTTTTGGATTCAATTTGCATCCGAATCAACTTTCGTTTGTTGTGTCAGTTTTGTTTTTGATTTTTCTATCCCAAGAGTAAAAAAAAAAATTTACTGTTCATCCGTACAATAAAAAAAAATTCCAAAAAAAATCCGAATTTAAAAAAAAGTTATTATTGTTGTTGATCTTGGAAATTACTGAATTCTTGAGTCCATTTATTATTTTGTGTCTAGTTTAAATCTTCAGTCAATAATTTCCTTTCTTATTTTGCGTTTTTGAGTCAATTTCTTTATTTCTAGTTTGAATTGCTAGTCAAATTGTTCTAAATTCCTTGGCCTTGTAATCTCCCTCACACCGGTTTGAATTCCACGTGATTAAATTTTTGATTGAGTTCCAAAATTGTTCTTTTGGGGACTTGGTGAAAGCAACGAGTGGTGAGAACAAATGAGAGAAAAAGCCATATTGAGTGAAATTTCGAGTGAACAATTGTGAGGCAGAAAAAATTACTTAGATTTAGGATGTCTGACAGGGAAGGATCGAGTTCGGGTAGAATTGATGATCGGGTTTCCATGTTAAAGGACTCGGTGTGAAGGATTGAGCAGATATGTGTAGATATGAGTGATCAAATGGATAGACAAGATGCACGGGGGAAAAGGCAAAATCCATTGCCTGCCAATCACGAAGGGGAGGTCTTAATGCACGGAGATAGGGTAGACGAGAACCTGGGATGGATGAAGATGAAATTGTGGATGCAGATTTTGGAAGGGGTAGAAATAGAGGAGTTAGGCAAGAAAGGAGAGGTAGGAATCTCGGTGGAGATGGGGTGGATAGGAATTTGAGTAACATTAAAATTACCATTCATTCATTCGAAGGTAGGAATGATCCAGAGGCCTCCTTGGATTGGGAGAAGAAAATTGAGTTAATCTTTGATTGCCACAATTACTTAGGAGAGAAGAAGGTGAAAATTACAGTTCTTGAATTCACGGACTATGCAATCACTTAATGGGATCAGGTGGTGACTTTGAGGCAGAGAAGTGGGGAGCGACCTGTCAATACATGGGAGGAATTGAAAACTATAATGCGGAAGAGGTTTGTACCTACTCACTACTACCGAGAGCTACATCAAAGATTACAAAATTTATATCAAGGCTCCAGGAGTGTGAAAGATTACCATAAAGAGATGGAGACACTAATGATTAGGGTAAATGTGGAGGAGGATAGTGAAGCTACCATGGCTCAGTTTCTGCGTGGATTGAACAGGGACATTGCAAATACAGTGGAATTGTAGCACTGTGTGAAAATTGAAGACATGTTACATGTGGCAATGAAGGTCGAGAGGCAATTGAAGCGAAAAGGAACAACAAGGTACCAATCGAGATCTTCGGGTGCTAATTCTTTTGGGAAACCAAAGTGGGACAATAACAAAGGAGAAGGAAATGTTGCAAGATGAAGAACTGAGGTACCAAGAGGCAAGAAGGAGAGTGCTAGCAAGGCCGTGCCAAAGGGAGAGTCACAGTCATTAAGAAATAGAAACATCAAATGTTTTCATTGCTTGGGAGTGGGGCACATTGCTTCTCAATGCCCAAACAAGAGAACCATGATTCTGCGGGATAGCGGGGAAATGGAAACTGAAAGTGAGAGTGATTACGCAGATAGACCAGAATTGGAGGATGTTTATGAAGAAGATACAATAGAGTATGCAGTTAACAGTAAGTTATTGGTCATGAGGTGAGCTCTTAGTGTTCAAATCAAAGCGGATGACTTGGAGCAACAGTGAGAAAATATCTTCCACACGCGATGTCACGTCAATGGTAAGGTATGTAGTGTGACAATAGATGGCGATAGTTGTACTAATGTGGCTAGCACTAACATGGTGGAAAAATTGGGTTTAACACTGTTAAAACATGCCTTATAAATTACAATGGCTAAATGAATGTGGGGAAGTTAAGGTGACAAAAAGGGCGTTGATTAATTTTTCCATTGGTAGATATCAGGATGAGGTAATGTGCGATGTTGTACCTATGCATGCGGGGCATATCTTGTTGGGGAAACCATGACAGTACGATAGGAAAGCAATGCATGATGGGTATAAAAACAAGTATAGCTTTGTGAAAAATTGGAGGTCTGTCAATCTTGCGCCATTAACACCGGCACAAGTATATGAGAACCAAATTCAATTGAAAAATGAAGACGCGAGAGTGAGAGAGTTAGGGAAAAGGAGAGAAAATAGTAAGGTGGCCAATAGAGAGGAAAAGAGAGTAGAGCCACATGAGAGAAAAGAAAGAGAGTCTTCCGAGAGAAGAGAAAAGCCGAAACAAAATTTCTTTGTAAGAGGGAGTGAATTGAAAAAGGCAATAGTTGAGAGGCAACAAATGATACTGTTGGTTTACAAGGAATCACTCCTCAATTTTGGGGAGCATTAGACATCCCTCCCTAGTTTGGCTATTTCTTTGTTGCAGGAATTTGAAGACGTGTTTCCGGAGGATGTGCCTAGTGGGCTACCACCCATTAGAGGAATTGAGCACCAAATTGATCTCACACCTGGCAAAGTCATTCCGAATCGACTAGCTTATTGAAGTAATCCAGAGGAGACAAAGGAGTTTCAGAGACAAGTTGAGAAATTGATGAGCAAAGGATATGTACGGGAAAGCATGAGTTCATGTGCAGTCCCTGTGTTGCTGGTGCCAAAGAAAGATGGAACTTGGAGAATGTGCATATATTGCAAAGCCATCAACAACATTACGGTAAAGTATCGTCACCCAATTCTTAGGCTAGATGATATGCTAGATGAGCTACATGATGCATGCATTTTCAGTAAAATTGATCTTAAAAGTGGGGTATTATCAAATTCACATGAAGGAGGGTGATGAATGGAAAACGGCTTAAACTAAATATGGATTGTATGAATGGTTAGTCATGCCGTTTGGACTCACAAATGCACCAAGCACTTTTATGTGATTCATGAACCATATTTTGTGTGCTTTCATTGGAAAATTTGTTGTAGTTTATTTTAATGACATTTTAATCTATATAAAAAATCTTGATGAGCATGTAGTATATTTAAGATGTGTGCTTGTGGTTTTGAGAAAGGAACGACTTTATGCCAATTTTAAGAAGTGTACTTTTTGCATGGATAGAGTTGTGTTTCTAGGTTTTGTGGTTAGTGCTAATAGTGTAGAGATAGATGAAGAGAAAATAAAAGCTATTAAAGATTGGCCGATACCTAAAAACATAATCGAGGTCAGGAGTTTTCATGGATTGACTAGTTTTTATAGGCGTTTTGTCAGGGATTTTAGTACAATCACCACACCACTAACTGAGATTGTCAAGAAGAATTTGGGATTTCAATGGGGGGTAGAACAAGAACATACATTCAACATCATCAAAGATTGTTTGTGTAAAGCACCGATTTTAGCACTTCCAAACTTTGACAAAATTTTTGAAATTGAGTGTGATGCATCAGGAATAGGTATTGGAACAATCTTAATGCAGGATAAGAGACTTATAGCTTACTTTAGTGAGAAGCAAAGTGGAGCAGCTCTCAACTATCCTACGTATGACAATGAGCTCTATTCACTTGTTCGAGCCTTAAAGACATGGCAGCATTACCTGTGGCCAAAAGAGTTTGTAATTCATTCTGATCATGAATCATTGAAACATTTGCGGGGTCAAGGTAAGTTAAACAAGCGACATGCATGGATGGAATTCATAGAAACTTTTCCATATGTCATTCGTTACAAACAAGGTAAGAAAAATGCAATAGCAGATGCATTGTCGTGAAGGTATGTGCTTTTAACTACTTTAAGTGCAAAATTGCTTGGTTTTGAGTACATTAAGGACATGTATGCTAATGATTCTGAATTTTTCAACATTTACAATTCATGTCATAAGGGAACTGTAGATAAGTTCTTTAAGCATGATGGGTACTTGTTTCGAGAAAACAAATTATGTGTTCCTAATTGCTCTATGCGTGAATTATTGGTTAGAGAAGCACTTAGTGGAGGTCTAATGGGTCACTTTGGGATAGCAAAGACTTTAGAAATATTAACTGAGCATTTCTATTGGCCTAAAATGAAAGTTGATGTGGAACAAATTTGTAGTCAATGCATAACTTGTAAACAGGCTAAATCTAGGGTCTTACCTCATGGGTTTTATACACCTTTGCCAGTACCTAGTGAACCTTGGGTAGACATCTCAATGGATTTTGTGTTAGGTTTGCCTAGGACAAAAAAGGGTCAGGATTTGATTTTTGTAGTGGTGGATATGTTTAGTAAGATGGCACATTTCATTCTATGTCACAAAATTGATGACGCCACTAACATTGCAGACTTGTTCTTTAAAGAAATTGAGCGCTTGCATGGAGTACCTAAAAGTATTGTGTCAGATAGGGATGTAAAATTTCTTAGTCACTTTTGAAGGGTCTTGTGGAATAAGTTAGGCACGAAATTACTATTTTCTATAACTTGTCACCCATAAACCGATGGACAAACTGAAGTAGTAAATAGGACCATGACACAACTATTGTGCACTGTGGTTAATAAGAATTTGAAGAATTGGGAAGAGTGCTTACCTTTCATAGAGTTTGCATATAATAGGGCCACACATTCTACTATATCGTTTTCTCCATTTGAAATTGTTTATGGTTTTAATCCTATAATACCTAGGATTTAATACATTTGTCTATGAATGAACGAGATAGCTTGGATGGGAAGAGGAAGGCCAAGCTGGTGACCTCATTCCATGAAAAGGTACGAGAGCAAATTGAGAAGAAGAGTAAGCACTATGCGGAGCAAGCAAACAAGGGGAGGAAGATCGTTACATTCGAATCAGGAGATTGGGTTTGGGTGCATTTCAGGAAAGAGCGGTTTTCAGGACAAAGAAAATCAAAACTATTGCCACGGGGAGATGGACCATTTCAAGTGCTTGAGAAGATAAATGACAACACATACAAATTAGATCTTTCGGGTGAGCATAACATTTCAACAACTTTTAATGTGTCTGATCTTTCTCTCTTTGATGCGAGTACAGATTCGAGGATGAATCCTTTTGAAGAGGGAGGGAATGATGTGAGCCAGGGGCCGCAAGCGTCAAAGTCAAGTCCAACGTCAAGCCTTAAGAAAGATCCGTTGATAGTCGAGGGCGGTCCGATGACTCGAGCAAGGACAAAGCAAGTAAAAGAGGCGATGAGATTGCTCGTCAAAGCAACTATTGATGAAACCATGTTTGAGACTCAAAATGGGACAAGTTTCATGTTGGGGTCGAAGGCCCAAGAGACTTGAATCAACGTGTTAAAGGCGGACGAAAATGGAGTGGAGAGCCAAAGCTATGTGACCGCATAGCACAAATGGCCTGCGGTCACACGGACCTAGGCTGAGAGTTGAAGGAGGCCAAACTTCAATTCCATGCGGCCGCATGGAATTGAACCATGCGACCGCATGGTTATTTTCAGAAGCGTTTTTTTTTTTTTGCGATTTTTCTAGTTTTACGAGAATTCTATATTTTATTGATTTCTTACCCAATTTAGAAGATTATGCACAAAATTACCTAGATTCTTAGGACTAATATAAATACTTTTATTATTTTCATTGTAAAAAAGACTTTTGACATATTGATTAATTGAAAGGCTTAATTGCTTTTTCTTTGTTCTTCCAATTGAACAATTTTTGAACTTATCAAGATCTAATTCTTGTGGCATTCAAATCAACAGGGTGAGATTCCATAATTTTGCGTAATCAAGAGATCCGCACACCGTCAGCGATTCGGATTGCTTGGTTCCAAATTTATTGAATTCAAATTCAAAACCTTGCTTTGGCTTTCTTAGGAAGATTTCTATCTTGTTCGTAGGTTCCGTAGCGTTTGCCTACGCGGGTTCACATCAAACCGTTGGCACTTGTCGCATTTGCGCACAAATTGAAGAGCATCCTTTTTTAAGGTAAGCCAGTAATACCCTTGCCTCAGTACTTTTTGTGCCAAGGCTAGTCCTTCTGAATGATTGCCACAAACACCTTCGTGGATTTTCCTTAGAATGTAAGTGGCCTCGTTTCCTCCCACGCATCGAAGAAGTGGGGAGGAGAAGCTTCTTTTGTAGAGTACGTCATCAATGAAAAGGAAAATGAGCTGACCTCCTTCTTAGCTTGTAGGCCTCATCTTTGTTAGTGGGCAGGACCTGGTCCCTCAGGTAGGCTATGATCGATTACATCCAAGTGGGGGTGCCTCCGACCCACATCACCTTAGGAGCCTCGGTTGATAGCGTAAGGAGGTGCTCAATTGGTACTATTGCCAGTAGTTCGAGGTCCTTACTGCTCGCGAGTTTAGAGAGTGCATCTGCATATGCGTTCTCGAGGCGAGGGATCTGTATTATTTCGAATTTTTCAAAAGACGGGAGGAGGTTCATCACCATCTTCAAGTAGGAGGCCATGGTTTTATCCCTAGCTAAAAAACTGCCATTCACTTGGCTTACCACCAGCTGGGAGTCACTGTTGATATGTGGCCTCCTTACTTGTATTTCTTTGGCTAATATGAGGCCTACGAGGAGTGCCTCATATTCAGCAGCATTGTTGGTGGCCTTAAATTTGAACTTCACAGCTGAGTTCAACTTGTAACCTTTCGGGCTGACAAGGACTACTCCAGCTCCCGAACCTGTGTCTCCAGTCGAACCGTCCACGAACAAGTTCCACGTGGGGGCTTAACAGGTTCCATAACCTCTTTCACCTCAAGTACATTGGTGAACTCTGCTACAAAATTAGCTAAAACTTGGCCCTTGATGGCTGCCTTTGTTTTAATGACAATGTCGAATTCACTTAGCTCCACTACCCATTTTAGTAGTCTTTCTGAGGCATCTAGCTTCTGTAACACTTGCCTCAAAGGGATGATGTGTGCTTGGAAGTAGGGCCTCAGCTTCCTAGAGGCTGTGATCAAGGCTAGGGCTAGCTTCTCCATATCGTGATAGCGAGTTTCTGGAGACAAGAGTGCCTTGCTGGTATAATAAACGGGGAGTTGGGCGATTTCTTCTTGTCGGGCTAGGACCGCACTGATGGCCTTGTTGGAAATGGCTAGGTACAGTTGGAGGATATCGCCGGGCTTAGGCTTGGAGAGAAGGGGGGCCTGCCCTAGGTGCCTTTTTAGGTCCTAGAAGGCCTCTTCACACTCATCATTCTATTCGAACTTCTTCCTGACTTTCAATACATTAAAGAATGGGAGGCATTTATCGGTGGCATTGGAGATAAAGCGGCTGAGGACTGCTACCCGTCCCGTTAGGCTTTGGACTTCCTTCGATTTCTGGAGTGATCTCATCTCGAGTAAGGCATTGATCTTTTCAGGGTTGGCTTCGATTCCTCTTTGGTTGATCATGTACCCTAGGAACTTGCTAGAGGCAACGCCAAAGGCACACTTGAGGGGGTTGAGCTTCATCATGTACCTCCTGAGCATTTGAAAAGTGTTATCCAAGTGCATCACATGGTTGTCTACCTTCAGGATTTTCACAAGCATATCATCAACGTAGACTTCCATTATATTGCCGATGAGGTCTACAAATATTCTGTTGACAAGTCTTTGGTAGATGGCCCCAGCGTTTTTCAACTCGAAGGGCATCACTCTTCCTTCAGAGCCTCATATCTTTCAGGGTTGAGGGCTTTTCTCTTCTATCGGTGCGGGGCAACCTTAGGGTCTATCTTTAGGTGGTGGCAGTTGACCTTGGGGTCTATGTCCACCATGTCTTCATGCCTTCAGGCAAAGACGTCAAGGTTGCAAAGAAAGCTTTTCAATCTTTCTTTCATGTCATTGCTCAGGCCTATGCCTACTTTCAACACTTTTGCGGGATCCCGGGGGTCGATAGAGAAACTTTCTAGCTCCTCAATCGGAGTGGTTTGGGGCTCGTACTCAATCACATGAGGATCGATCTCATCGATCATGGAGAGTTCTTCCTGTTCGGGAGGTGCGTCAATCATCTCAACATCTTCTCGTTCGAAAGGGGCCTCATTTGGGACGTCTACCATATCCACATCAGTCAGGATAACATGTACGTCTCGGGGCTCGACCTTTCTGATAGAGCTCGGGTAGCATTCTCTGGATCCCGTTTGGTCACCTTTCACTGTTATCACCTCGTTCTCAGTTGGACGTTTCATGCATAAGTGGTGGATGGAAGTTACGGCTCCCAACTCCTTCAAAGCTGGTCTACCCAAGACTCCGTGGTAGGTCGACTCCATGAAGTTCATGGTGGTTTGGGGGGACTCTTCCATCTCTACCGCCAATGTTATCTTTCCTCTCGGAGTGATACTATCTCCGGTAAATCCATATAGAGGAGTGGTGATGGGCGTCAGCTTGTGGTCTAAGATCATCTTGTCAAAGGTGGACCCGAACAGGATGTTAACGGAGCTGCCATTGTCTATTAGCATTCGCTTGAGTCCATTTCTGGCCACAACGACCCCTACCACAAGTGCATCACAATGGCGTAGTGAACTCCTTCAGATTCTTTATGGGTGAAGACGATGGGCTGTACTTGTTTTCTTCGGTCTACGATATAACTGGTTAGTGGGAGGCATTTTGCCTCTCAGGCGTAATTTCGTTTTGCTTTCTGAGTTTTCCCTCCCACGTAGGGGCCTCCTCTCGTACATGGCGGTTCTCCCGATGCCTGTGTCCCTTCCTATTTCTATCCGCGACATGTTCCCTTCAGTCGGGGGAGACATTTCTCTGGTAGGAGGCAGCCTCCTCATGCCTAGGTCACTGATCGTTCCCAGGCGGGGGCCTGTTCACATGCGGCAAATCATTCCTCCTGTTTTGGGGATTTTCCCACGTATTGCAGTATGCGTACTCGCGACACTCAGACGTGTCATGACCACAGGAGCTGTGGTACGTATGATAATCGGGGGGGGTTCTGATTAGGCCTATTCCTAGGTCCTGAACCGCACCCCGACCTCTTCTTCTACCGGGGGCCTGTAGTGAAGTCCCTGCTTGCGGGTCGGTAGTTGTTGGATTGACATCTTTATATGCCAACGTTGGAACTGCGTTCAAAGTGGTAGTGGCAAATGCCTGCCCTGAATTTCCACCACCAGGTGGGTTCATCTGGTGTCCATCAGGTGGGAGGTTGGTCCCCTGGCACGCAGTCTTTGTTGAGGTGCTCAATTAATTCTTCATTAATAATCTCTCGCCTCATCATTTCCAACAGGGCGTCGTAGGTGGTGGGATCTTGGTTTTGCATGTCCCTCCAGAACAGGGTGTTCATATTCAGACTTCCTTTTAAAGTTGACAAAGCTTCACGATCGGTAATTTGCACGCAATACGTCTTTTCGTCGGTAAAGCATGATAAAAAAACTTTTTAGGGATTCCCCATGTCCCTGCCTCATGTCTTGAAGACGCTGGATGGAGGTCTCTCCCTCCTTGCTCACTGCAAACCTTTTTAGGAAAGCGGTCTTGAATTCTGGCCAACTCCTTATGTTTCCAGGCGACAGTCGACTATACCAGATTTCAATCACTTCACTAAGTGTTAAATGAAAAGCTCTACACTTCACGGCTGGGGTGGCGTCTCTAAGGCTCATATGGGTTTTATAAGCGCTTAGGTATTTCTTCAGGTCACCTCTCCTGTCATACTTTGGTATCTTGGGCATCACATAGTGGCCCGGAACCTGGGCATTTCTTAGTTCCCTTGAGAATGACAGATTTTCATCATCATCGTCTAAGTCACAGGACCTCTACTACTCATCTGAGACATTATTTTCATTGGCTTCATACCTAGGTATTTGGTGACAGGGTCCAGCCTAGGTCCTAGCCTCCTCTTCCCTCCTTTGGCGCCTATTTCTAGGCGAAGTAGCACGGGGGGCATTCTCATGCCTTTCCTCCGACTGGTGAGACATTGGAGGTGGGGGCTGTGGTCTATTTCGAAGCTCGCATTGTTGTTGTTGTTGCTTGTGCCTCGGTACTGCGGGGCTAATTCTGTCAAAAACGCCGTTAGACCTCCTAGGTCCTTGTTCTAGCTCATATGTTGGTGGAAAGTTATCCTGGTTATGCCGGGCCTCGATGGGTTGGCCAGCAGCATAATTGGAGGAAACATAAACTTCTACTTCCCTCTCCATGGGGCTCCTACCTTGACTGTATTTTGCCGGTATAGCCCTTTGACTTTGAACTTTCTCTCTTGGTCGTAATGTTCTTGGGAGGTGGGGGGGGGGGCAA